GGAAATATTATTTTCTTGGTTTCGAATAGACTTTTGAATTCGTTAGAATCTAATCTATCGAAACTCACTTGTGATTCATGTACGTACAATGTTGGATCATTCTAGGACTTATTTTTCTTACTTTGATAGCATCATTTCTACTGTTGGAGCAAGTAGGTGACTCTTTAAAGTCCTAGAATGATCCAACGTTGTATATTATCGTACGTACAGCAATTGTTCTAGCAGCAATTGTTCCAGCAATTGTTCTAGATTGATCCCTGAGAGTTTTCTAGAGTTCCAACCGCGTCATTTTTAATCATCCTTCTGACGATCATGATGGCATTATGCAGAGACCTTTCAGTTTCCTCCAAAAATTCTTCAGCACCTCCACGAAGTACAAAAGTGCAGGTCTCCTCAGCAGGGCAATTTTTCAGGGGGAGTACTTCTTCGGTTGCATCTCGAAGCCAGCGTATGAGAAGGTCTTCTTGAATGCAACACCAGCAACTATTTTTTCCGATAATTGTTAGCTAGCGTTTTAGCAGTTGTCAACCACTCGGCCGTATCTCAGTAATGAGCCATGTAAAATCCAGGTAAAAAAAGCATCATCAGAAGCGACGATCATCATTGTTTAAAAAAATGACAAATAAAGCTCATGAGAAATGACCGAATAAATGGTAGCGAATGTCTAAAATTTTTAATATTTTTATTAAAACAAAAATGTTACGAAATCCATTCGTGTGACATGCGAAATCATACGCTTTATGTAATAATTACATAATTGCTTGCATTATTGTACATGATTCGAATTGATTTAATAATGGAAATAATGCAGGGATTACTACAGCTTAGACCGCTGTCCCTTCCTCGGGATATTGTTGTAAGGTTTCAATAATGGATACAATGACTGACTGGCTTTGAAGGCAATTACGTCCGTTATTTTAGTAGCAGTCGTTGCACCTGGTTTCTTGTTCTCTTCTCCGTTATCCTTGATATTCTTTTCATCCCCAGCACCACCTTCTGCCGTTGAAATCACGTGGAGTGCCAATTTGCGCCTAGATGGCAATTTGTTGTAACCAATATCCTGAAAAAAATATTTTTTTTTATTCAATATTCCTGGACGTGATCATATAGATGCTAAAAGCAAATACTGGGATTAACAGAATGAAAGCCAAAAAAGGTTTTCCAACGCGAGTGAATAAATTGTATTGGGAACGCAAAAATATTTTTTTCTTTGGAAGAAATGATGAAGAATGGAAAAAAATTCTTGACACATTCTGTGATGATGGATTGGATCATTAGAAATGTATTCCATGTATTGTCATTGGATTGAATTAAAGAATTTTTTTCTGTTCAGGCGTCAATTTTATGTGCGCCTCTCTCAAGTGGTAAAACGTAATTCCGTTTTATAAACGTTAAATTCCTGAAGTTTATCCTCCTTCAAAAATATCATACACACAATTCCTCAGTAAATTACGATACATAAACTCACCTTGTTTTTCATTATTTTTTTATAACCATTCGAGTAGCTCTCGCAGCACAACTTTGATCCCAAATTTTAATGTATTTTAGGCTAAAAAGATAAAATTTAAACAAAAGATGACATTCGTCAGATAGTCCACCCGGGCCTTAACTCAAAATATTAAGATTTCTGCTTACACGACATTCAAGACAGAATATGCATATGTGGGGCCGGTCATTTTACGGTATTTCGACTTATAGTTAGGGTATATAGATGATGATCACAATTATAAATGGTTGAATTACATCATTTTATCTTATATCGGGTTTTAAACCTCTAGCTTTTCTCAGCGTCACCGCTTAAACTTAGTCGTAAAAATCCTCGCTGAAACAATAGGCATTACCGCAACATATCGACGACAAAATATCATCCAACATATTGTAGCTGATTTTGTTGAGTTGGAGATGTTCACGATATGGGTCTTCGTAATTTATGAGTTCGGAACCGTAATTTACAACATAAAAATCATAATTTACGATATTTTTGAACGTAATTTACGTGGTTTCAAGTGGTAATTTACGTTTCCAAACTCGTAATGTAGCAGATCAGAAAGCCCGTAAATTATGTTCTAAAAACCCGTATTTTAACTTCGCGACCTACCGCGCACTCCAGGCACTGAATTTGAATTTGGCGGTTCGAGTTGACCAATGAGGAATTAGTCCTACGCGTTTCGAGATATTTCGACTCGGGCGAACGAGACAATTTTCAATGGTCATTTTTCAATTATCATTTCACTTTTCCCTTTTCAACATTTTTCTAATTCTACAAATTTTTATGAAAAGGTGTTGAAAAAAGGTCACTGAAAGTCATGTTCACATCATTCAAAATATCCTCGAACTTGAAGATTTGATGTTGCTGACAAAAGATTTTCTTACAAATGTCCTTGCATTTACGATTCCAATCACAGATTTTACGTAATTAAGATGTCGTACATAACGAGAAAGGGAGAGTAAATTACGGGGTCGAAACGTGTAACACACGATATCGGTCTTCGTAATTTACTGGATCGACCTCGTAATTTACGGTATTTCCGGGCGTAATTTACGTGCTTCTAATGGTAATTTACGTTTCCAAACTCGTAATGTACTAGATCAGAAATCCCGTAAATTACGTTCCAAATCTGGTATTTTAAGTATAGTCCCTTCTGTATGTACCACTCTATATACCATATATACCACTATACGTACATATACTACTTGAGTGCAATTCACCTTCGAGAATATCGAAGCTAAATAGTTCATGTCTAACTGATATCCTGACCATTTATAAAAACGTTCTCATGAGTTCAATTCGCTGATTCACACCAATAACTGATGAGTACTGCGAAGTATCCACAGTCATGCTTCCTAGAATTTTCAATTTAAAATATATGAGGCTCACGATGTTTGAAAGTTTCTGAGAAATGCCATTCATCATGTATATCCTTCTAAAAAATGTATTCACCCTGCTCTAGCAATGACTAGACACGTTCTTCATCGCTTCTGCACATAGTTCTTGTGACAGGAGACTCCATCGCTGCTTCAGTCTACGATGTTACCAGATAGTGAATTGGAAGTAAAATCATTGCTGTTTAGTCTATTAATCGAGTGGTGAAAACTATTTTAATTAGTAAATTTTTCATTTTTAGAAGAAATTCCTCAGAGCTCAGAATATTCTACATCACGTAACCCGATCAATTGCATTCCTAGGAATGTGGCCAGTCGAAGTAACTAATCAGAGTAAAATGAGACTTATTTTGTATTTAACGTATCATACTTATCGTGTGTCGATGCAATTAATTGAACTTGCAATTATTATTGGAAATCTCGAACTTACCATTGACAATCTCACTGTCACGGGTTTCCAAATAGCTGTTATATTAAGACTGACAATCTGGAGATTTAATCCAAAGATGCGCTACACTATTGAGAAACTCAATGAAATTCATCAACGACACATGTTTAACAACGCCAGGGAAATGGATATTTTTATTAAATATAGTGAATATTCTGAGGGTATTTACAAAATTATTATGGTAACATCCGTTACGTGTTGTGTTTCGTGGTACATAACACCATTTCAGAATTATATATTTGCAAGTAAGTGGTCAGATCCATCATATTGTTATTTTCAAGTGTGATCTCCATTTTTGCATTTTTAAGAGTTGCAGAATGAAACATTTATATTTGTTTATCCATTTCGCATGCCTCCATTCGAAATTTTTTCGAGAATTGACGTGGCTTTTTTCATTCATCTTACTGATCTACCGATGGCATACATGAGTGCTTGTTATTCATTAACATATGGAATATATTTTATCATTGTTCATCACATTTGTGGTCAACTATTCATCATTAGTGACAGAATAAGAAATCTCAAGGTCGAGCTGTCGACGCGGATGACAGATTTATTTCAACCTATAATTGAGAAGCATATTGCCATAATTCGGTGAGTTCACGGAGAGAAATATTGAAGAAAAATTACGGAACATTTCACGTAATCTGTAAGCGAAGGAGTTATCCTTCCTATTCTAAAAAGGACAAACATCGAGACTATCGATATCTCGAAAGTCTGTCACGCCTATTCCTCATTGGTTCAGTCGTCTGAGGCGGCTAATTTGAATTTGGAACTCATTCAAATTAACAATTTTTCATCACGATTCTCATAATTACAGCGCGCTGTAGCGGGTGTTCGTTCTCCTCACATAAATTCTACAACCTGTTCCGTAAAAATTACTCATCCGCTCGACGCCTCACCGCTAGCCATGAGTCACCGTCAGGGGGGTACTTTTACGGAACGTTTCGTAAAAATTCATCAACATCCAAGAATTTTTATGTTCTGAGGCATAATAAGTCTTGAAGTTTTGTTCGATTTTAAAACATCCAGAAAAATTACGTGATTTTTTCGGATTTTTTCGGTGAGAGAACCCGAAAATTTACTGACAGTTCTAGATTTATTCCCCGAAAGCGATCCTCGCTGGCGGATTACGTGAGATGTTCCGTAATTTTTCTGGAATATTTCTCTCCTTGTTCTGGTGTTATATTTTCAGAATAAACTATTAGCTCATCAACAATTGAACAATACTTAAATAATGAAAGATGCTTTGTTCAGGGTGTCCAAAGCACTGGATGATTGTTCGCATACATTTCTTCTGTACGAATTATTGGATACGATTGTTGTTATTGGATTACTCACGTACTACCTGATAGCGGTAATGTCTGGTTTCAAAACACTTTCAGAACTCAAATAATTTTTTTTTTATTCATTTTCTTTTATCAAAGAAACGTATCTTCAAACCGAGATGGAGTTTGGAACTTTTTACATGGAAATGATTGAGGGGTTGCATGGAAAAATAACAGCACATTTTTACCTTTTTCTTTCATGTATTTTGGAATATTTGTAAAGCTCTTTCATGGTTAAAAAATCACTCGGCGTCAACTTATAAAATTCTAGGGAACAGGTCTGTTGAGGGACTGATTTACGATCGGTTGTACTCCGCACTCTATAGAGAAAAATACAGGAAAAATTACGTGACTGATCACGTAATCATGGGCTGAAGTGTCATTCCCTTGTTTTTTACTGGAGAACTTGGGAAAAAATGGGAGACGAACAGTAAATTTTATTATTTGCTCTGGAAAATTTACGTGACTGTCACGTAATTTCTTACGAACTTGTAAAATTTACTACAGTTCCGGTAAAAATTATTCCGAGTAACGTAAACATTATCCAGTTTCATTTAAATTTTACGTGACTTACCGTAATCTTTACGTGACCGAATTGAAAAATTCCTAGACAGCGTTGGTGGTACGACTGTTGGTCATACCCGATCGCGAATTATTGTCCAAGTTCGGATCACGTCCTCCGGCAAATTATTATTGTCGGAAGGATAAAAAAACATTACAGGTGATTTTTGAAGTTTTGATCCAATCAAATAATTTATTAATTAAATATTCTCTTCCTCAATTATTATTATTGAAAAAAAAAGTTTGGGGAAAAATTACGAAACAATTCGGCAAAATTTATGGAACTGAGTACCGTAATTTTTCTACCTCTAAAGGTGACTTTTTACCGACCGAGTGGTAAAATGTTCTGAATGATCGGCACTTTTTCCGATTTTACATTTCGCCCCACGTTGATCTTTCACACATGAATTTTTACGGAACTTTTTACGTATTCTTCCCAGTATTTTTCTCTCCGTGTAGAGCGGTTTCGTAAACATATGCTCAAATTTTCTTGAGAAAGTTTTCCCTTTACTATAGTTTGCAGTCTCTTGACAGTGGTCCGCAAATTAAGACCTGCCTTCTTCGTGTTAATAAAGAATATTTAACAATCTGTATTAAAAACCGTAAATTTTGGTTAAAGGGCGTCGAACGTTCTTAAAGTAATTTCTCTCTCATTATGATTACAATTAGATTTAGGTCTGTATTGGCGACCACTCCGATTTTTAAAGCATTTTTAAATTTCAGCATGGCAGTGCAAGCGCAGGTGCTGTCATTGTCAACTATTCATTGAGTATGTGCAACATACTGGTGCTTGTATTCATGAATTGTTATATGGGTCAGTGTCTTGAAAATGAGGTACTATTTATAATTACATTAACTTTTTTCCGTAAAAGCGATTGCGGCACGTTGCACGGGTCGTCGATTCGGTGATGCGTGAAAATTTTGCATATTATGAGAGTAATCGAAGAATTCATTTCTTTATTGAATGGAAATTTCATTGATATGTGCATGCCACCATGATTGACTCTGTCATGAAGTTTCATCCCGATACACTATTTTTTATAACTTTTCACTAAAATTTAATAAAAAATCAATAAATTTTAGTGAAAAGTTATAAAAATTGGTGTATCGGGGTGAAACTTTGTGAAAGGATAAATCATGATGTAACGGACAAACGCTATATTTTCATATCCCAATCCGATCCATAGTTTTCAATAAATCTCAGAAAAATAGGAAAAATAACAAAATTTATTTGGCCTTATTTCGTCTACTGTCTATTGTTTTGTTGAAAATAGTATTGATATTGTAATTTACAATTCCAGAGTAACAATCTGTTAGGAGTGTTCTATGACAGCAATTGGAATGATATGCCCTTGTCGCACCAGAAGGGATTTATAATTTGTATGCAATACGCCCGAAAGCCCCTGACGATGACGGCGGGGAAATTTTATAAATTTTCGTTAGAAGGTTTCACGAGCGTAAGTGTAAAAAATCCAGTGGATTGTTTTTCTTTTGAAATTTTATTATTTCGTATTTATAGATACTGAAGTCGTCAATGGCTTTTGTTTCCATGTTAAGAACAACAATTTAAAATTAACTACAAACAACAATCGTCAACAATCTATAATGAATACCAATTTTGTTACTCGAACTTGAAATGGATGTGATTTTATGATGATGTCACCATACGCTCTTGAGTAAATGATCTGGAAAATATAAAAAAATTGATGCCTCAATAGAAATTTGAAGTCGATGTGCTGTCATGACGGATTATTCTGATTGATTTTATATTAACTGTTAGAAAATAAGAAATAGGAAAAAACCCTGGGGGGTGTGAAGATGTGCAATCTGATAAATTTCTTAATAAAAATTTGAAATGTTGAATGTCCGATTAAAATGTTTAAAGGCTTTATTATATTATTTGTTGCTCTTCAGGGACGAACATGATTACGTAGATGGGGTAGAATTTTTCAATTCGGTCACGTAAAAATTACGGTACCCCACGTAAAATTTAAATGAAACTGGATAATTTTTACGTTACTCGGAATAATTTCTACCAGAACTGTAGTAAATTTTACAAGTTCGTAAAAAATTACGTGACAGTCACGTAAATTTTCCAGAGCAAATACTAAAATTTACTATTCGTCTCTCATTTTTTCCCAAATTCTCCAGTAAAAAAACAAGGAAATGACACTCCAGCCCACGATTACGTGATTAGCCACGTAATTTTTTCTGTGTTTTCCTCTCCGTGTATGAGAAGTAAAGTATTACATAGCATATAGTACATATTCTACTAGTTGAACTGTTGTTTTTCTACTGTATAGCTGTAGAGCAACTGCCAAATTTTCTATCCTAACTGACATGGTGAGCGCATGCGTGACTTCTCAGGTATTGAACAGTGCCTGCAAAATCGATTTAGGGATTGCTAATTCAAGGAAGTTTTAGAAAAACTGCCTATATAAGTAATGAAGTTTCGTCAACTTATCTGCCTATCCTGGCGCATGGAGTATCATCGTTGTTACTGCGTACGTTCCGTCCTGTTCATTTCTATGCTATAGAATCTATAGACGATAGCATAGACGATGGCATCGCGTACTAAACTACAGGTGCAGTTCCTTGAAGCACCAAACCAATGATAACAGACCTTATTTAGAGGTTTCATTGCTTTCAGGAGCGATTTGAAAGTGCTCAGAGTACATTATCCTACGTTAGCTCGCCAATAGCTCGTATTGGTTTATGGCCAATAAATGTCACAGCTAATAGTCGCGTGAAACTTATCATCTACTTGATCTATCATTGTTCCCGCACTTTATTGGAAATCATTGAACTTGTCATGGTATTTGGAAATCTTCAACAAGTCATTGAAAATCTGATGATCACAGGTACAGAGATTGCGGTGATTTTAAGAGTGACGACTTTGAGGTTCAATCCATTGAGTAAACAAATCATTACAATCGCGAATCAGCTTCGTAAACTTGAAAACTTCAACAATTCTATAGAAATGGAGATTTTTATCAAACATAGTGAGAGTGCTAAAAGTTTTCACAAGTTTATGATATGACCAGTCACTATATGTACCTTTTTATGGTGGATAACGCCATTGTTCAACTATATGGTCGCCAGTGAGTATTATTTCAAAATTACAAATCATTTACAGCGTGTATTTAAATCACCGTTCACCTATATATTTGGGTATCCTATATACTCTAACATTTGATGTAAAATTATTCATTCAATCATTTTTTAATTGTTAACGTTAATAGTGGTAATGATTCTTAAACTAATTCTTAGACCGGGATTTTTACTGTACCCGAGACTGTACCGCGCGGGTAGGAAACGATTTCTGTTAGAAGGTTACGACTTTGTAATCTCGCGCCACTTTAGGTGGACCAATAAGGAATCGTGGCTTTATGATTTCGAGATTTTCGAGATAATCGATTGTGTCAAGCGTGTCCCTTTTGAAATAGGATTGATAAGAAAAGACAGATTCAATTCGGTTTTCTCATTCAAAGTATCCGAGGTTCAATAAATATTGGACAGCTTGAATTAACTAATTTCATAACCTAATGACTAAATAAATGGGCAGTTCTGCCCAAACATCTAGACACTTTGCCGTTAAGGAACTTCAAGTTCGGGTCGTCAATCTTTTTCCGGTACGAGACCGAACGCACGTTGTGATTATAAAAATCATGAGTGAAAATGTCAATATTACATGAGTTATGAATTTAAATTAACCGCCTCAGATGCTTGAACCAATGAGGAATAAGCGTGGCCGATTTTGGAGAGGTCGATAGTCTCGATGTTTTTCCTTTCCTTATTATCCTTATTATGAAAGTAGAAACACAAAAATGAAGTTCGCCTCAGTCGAAATATCTCGAAACGCGTTGGACTAATTCCTCATTGGTCGAGTCGAGCCGCTAAATTCAAATTCGGCGCATAGAATGCGCAGTAGGTCCCGTTATTATAATCGAAGACTATAAATGCAGAATTACCATATCCTCCAGTCGTGGATTCCGCGCACTCCGGACCGGTAAAATACAAGTTGCCGATTTGCGAAATTAATAATCGAAAAACGATCGAACGAATAATTTTACAACACATTTTTCCATATTCAGGAAACATCAATCTATCAATGGAAGGTTTTTCGGTAATTTAGTAATTAGGTAATTTTAGATACCCCGTATGTTATCATTATCACCGATTTCTTACATTGTTAAATTTGCTGGTTTTATTGTAATTAATCTAGATATGTCAAATGCCACAATTTCACTGGTAGCTCCCTATCGCATGCCACCATTCGTTGACATGTCAAGAGTCAATGTGGCCATCGCAGTCTATATCTTTGAAATACCAATGTTGTATAGCGGCATTTGTTATCTAACGACATACAGCATACACTTCACTATTATCCATGATATTTGTGCTGACCTAGCCATACTTTCGTACAGAATCAAAAGTTTGAAGATGGATACAGATCCTCGTCAATCAATCCATCATTTCGTTGAGAAGCATATTAGTATAATAAAGTAAGTAACAGTAATATACAAATTTTTTTCTACTAGTTGCCAATCAAGAAATTCAGGTATATTTCAGACTATCAAAACAACTGGACGCTTGTACAAATATGTATCTGCTATTCGAGCTTTGCAATACCACTCTACTTCTTGGATTATGTACATACAGCATTATAGCGGTAACTATTCATTTTTTATAACTATTCTTTATACTGAGAGAACAAACAAAAAAACGTTTTGTTTTGGGGAACGAATTGTTGAGTTGTTATTTAGATTTGTGAAGAAAAAACTGAATTCTTTCACGACGAAAACCAAAAACTCCGAGTGGCGAGTGGCGAGTTGCTACTGGCGAGACCTAAGCTTTTCTAGTACCAAAATATTACATATGATCTGGTTTCCTCGGTTATGTTATTGGTGACCTAATTTAATCCGACACAATTTTATTTTTGATTCAGATTAGTTATGGTACTAATTAGGGAATCAATTTAGTTTCGTCGGAAAATTTACTGGAGGAGTATATGCACTGTTTAGCGATTTTTTAAAATAAATTTGGAGAACCAACAAATATGGGACATGTAAATATCACTCCACGAAAATCTATTGTGTGCATTCAGAAAAAAGAGGTTTTTCTGTAAATGTCTAGTTTAGGTCCACCAAACCATTCTGGGTGTTTTTTATTTGGTTGGATGGGTTTTCGTCACCTGATTAAGGATCTGGTCACTTTTTTATCCGGAAACAATGAGTGCGGGAGATATGACATTTAATACATCGCTCTCTGCGTTATCCAAGGTCACGGCGAGGACGTGGCGGTGTGTCGGCCCCAAAGACACCACCATGTTGGCACATTTAAAGACAATGAACATACAGAAAGAAGGATTTATCTAATAGTCCTGACGACTTCCCTAAAACTCTGAATTTTCCTCACCCGACCATCTACCATCGCTGAATTAGTTTAAGGAATTTCAGGGACAACAGAGTTCACCTCAGGACTATTTATCGATGTATTTCCCTCCTTGTTGTTTCTCTCTCTTCTTTCGTCTTGTTCTTGACGACTGAGAGGATAAGAATGGTTTTCATTCAAAGAAATTAATATTTCAATGATTTTTGTTTTTTGGTGGACCTAAACCATTTACCGGTTTTTCATTAGTGCGTTTTTACTTGCATGAAGAAATTAATATTCAAAAATTCTCAAGAGTTCCAATTCCAAGCTCATGAAACTATCTATTGATGATACAGTATAATCTTAATATAAGATACTTTAGTAACAATAGCAGCTTAGCATCTTCAATCGTTATTGGAACATTTTTGGAGGAATATTTGATTGAGTGATATTACAGAATATCGCCGCAAACGAAATGGAGATCGTATTGAATTATGTAGTATACGTGGTCAATGTTTTAATCTTCGTGTTCATTAACTGTCACATGGGCCAATGTCTCAACGATCAGGTAAGTTACGCAGCCATTAAATTTAGCATTTCTTAAAAGTTATTTTTTCAGTCTATGATACTCTTCACCACTTTGTCTGAATTTGAATGGTTTAATCTGCCCCTTGCATTTCGCAAATTCTCAATAATTTGTATGTTACAAGCACAGAATCCATTACAAATGACAGCTGGACATTTCTACCAATTCTCATTGTACAGTTTTACACAGGTAAAATTGCGAATGTTTGTCTGATCATTTTTTTTTGTATTCATCAACTTTCGCTTCTACCCATATAGATTCTGAAAACATCGATGGCCTACGCTTCAATGTTGAGAACTATTGTTTGATGGAAAATGTTGGGCCATATCCTTCAATAGAATAGTCGAATTGTATTCTAGTAATAAAAATTAACGATGCTTATAATTGTTGTTGGGCAAACAAAAAAATTGAATGTCCCTGCAATCTCATCTAACCCTTCACCGGTATAGCAGATCCCTTTCGCTATTATCAAAGAACAAATGTTTGGAAATTATGAAGAACTTAAGATGCAATAGTTGATAATAAAACCTTCTTTGTAACTCACCGCAATATTTGCAACGAATCAATATCCGTCTCTTCAGGATAGACCAAGATAATTGCGTGAGAATTGTTCATTATTCTGTTGATCGAAATGTGCAATCAAATTCATCTCCACTCTGTATACACTTATAATTAACGAGATCTACTGCGCACGAATTCGAATTTCGACTTTGGATTCGAGTTGACCAATAAGGAATCAGTCTTACGAGTTTCGACTCAGGCGAACTTCATTTACGTATCTCTGCTTTCATGATAAGGACTGAAGTGCTGTCAAAAGATCTGTGTTCATGCGCATGACGATTTTTCTGCCGATCCTCGAAACAAGTTTTCGAACTGCAATTACCGATTATTAATGCAACAGAACGCATATGCATGGTCTATGGACTTTCAGCAACTACCATGCCGAAAGCGCCGTGAAACTAGAGGGAATCCCGGCGCTGCCTATATTGATATCTCTGCTACCGCCGTTGACATACACCTGACAATGTTACTGGACGTTGAGCTCGAGGTGAAGTTCTATTTCTGTTATTCTGTACTTACAAATAGAAGAAAAGGGATGGAAATAAGTTTGATAATTTTATAGTAGATTCACATCGACGATTTTCCCCAGTTTTTGTCTACAGGGTTCAGAGTATTTTTATAATATATTTATAATATTTTTTGAAATAATCGAGGGAAACACGTATAAATAGTGACGGTCAAATTGGCTAGCTGTTAACAATTTTTAAGTGTTGATGAGAATTAATAATTATTGCACATGGTAGGGTTTAGTCGCCCAGAAATACCTCAGCACCCCTTTCTTCTCCGTTGACACGATGAGTGAGTGATTTAATCGAGGGGTCATTCATTGTCACATATCATGACACAATGATTTGTTATTTCATGTGATTTGAAGTGATTTCAATGATTTCAAATGATTGCAAGTGATTTTGTATGAAGTTGTATGAAGTATTTTGTACGTAATAGAACATATTTCAGTGTGTCGGCAAAAATTATCGTACCGTATGATGAAATTTGTCAACTGGTAAGTAACTTATATCGCCATTCGAAAAAACATTAACTAAGTTTGAGGTACGTTTTTTTAAACGAGTAGACAATTTTTACTCAACACATTCGACACATTTTTATTATGATTAACTTAGTAACAATTATCTATTTGTTCGACCAAAATTACCAAAAATTCAGGTACTTCTACTCAAACCGTTGACAACTTTTATTAAGCAGTCGAAAAAGTTAAATGTGTATTACTCCTCTCCCTCGTAACTTTATATTGAATTACATCCTACCCGATAGTTTTTGCCCTCCTGATTACGAATCTGACAAGTGTATGTTGATGAGACAAATAGTTTCCTCCATACGTTGAAATTTGTATACCATTCTTTGCATTACCCAGGGCTACGGCGAGTGCCCCCATAGTAATTTCATGCCTCCTCCGATGGAAGGGCCGCTCCTGGGTGTTGCACATATTTATTTATCCGCCATCTCAGACGTACTGGCTCATTGGAGACTTGAATTATCGTTCGATATAATCCCTGACCCGTTGTTGTCCAATCCTTCGGATAAACATGAGGATTAGTCGGTATTTAATTTCATTTAATTTCTTGGGGGGATTGTTCTACACATTTATCATAATTTTCTTGACAATTTCTCTCTGGGTACTAGTATCATATTTCATATTTTAGGAAAGATTGGTCAAGGTGCAAAGCATTATACATCATGTAAGTCGGCCTGTCGCATTAATGGGTATGTGTATATTTCATGTTTTAGGAAAGATTGGTAAAGGCGCAAAGCATTTTACATCATGTAAGTCGGCCTGTCGCATTAATGGGTATGTGGCCAGTGAATATCACCGTTGGTAATCGTATAACATTAATTCTGTATTACATCTATCATATTTATCGTATTGGAATGGAATGCATGGAGTTTGTCATGGTTTTTGGAGATATTGAACTCGTTATTGCCAATATTACAATGACGGGAGTACAAATAGCCATCATGGTGAGATTAACGCTATATAGATTTTCTTCAAATATGCGTAAAGTAATCGATGCATTGAGTGATTTGTATCAGCGTGATAAGTTTCAAGACAGCAATGAAATTGAAATATTCCTCAAATATAGCGAACGCTCTCACAGATGTTACAGAATGATAGTATGGCCAGCTGTCATTGCTTGTTTCTCGTGGTACCTAACACCTCTTCAAACTTACATCCTTGCTAGTAAGTAACATTCATAAAGACAATATCACTCCGTTTTTTTGTAGTTCTTGATTCGTCTATCATTGCTTGTTTCTAATGTTGTAATTTTTGTCGAGTGCCTATCAACAATTCATTGAATTCATTGAATCTTCCATATAATATTGGGTAATGGTTTAGTAGATTCGCACGTGCTGGACCTAGGTGAATACATCCCATGATATTCATCCTGGAAATCTCTCCCCAAACATGTTAATCCCCAGTAAGTTTATTCCATAAAAATAATTAGGAAAGAGCGAAATTAGCAGGTATTATCTTGTACTGATAATGAAAAGAGTGATTTCGTGATAATCACTATTTCTGTAGAATCCATATGGACCCATCTCAACGTCGCGGTACCTAGACTAACTCGCACGCAAAGTCTCGCCACGATGTGTATGTGACATTGAATTTTCCGTCCACTATATAAAAATGATTGCTGTATGAAGGACGGCGGTGCTCGATATATACAAGATAGGTGAAATGAATAAATGGTTAGGAGCCGGATAACTCAGTTGGGAGAGCACCCGATGCATAATCAGAAGGTCCCGGGTTCAAATCCCGGTCTGGACTATCCATTTTTTCAGTAATTTTTCTTGTAAAATTTAAATCGAGAATTATCCTGTTCCCCTTCCTACCGAATCCAAATCCTATCCAATGACTCCATTAACATCACAAAAATGTGGAACGCTTTAAAAACTTCCCCTCTTCCATGTTATTTAGCGAAACGGTAAATGTCTAGTTCAGGTCCACCAAGCCATTCTGGATGTTTTATATTTGATTGGATGGCTTTCCGTCACTTAAATAAGGATCTGGTCACCTTTTTATCCGGAAACAATTGGTAAAGGAGACATGACATTTAATACACCACTCTCTGCGTTATCCAGGGCCACGGCAAAATTGTGAATTCCCACTAGGGCTAGAATCAGACAAAATGCTCAATGCGAATCTACTAGAAAAAATTACCCAATATCTTTTAATGAATCTATTCAAAATAGCTATAACTTGTTATATAATAAAAACTACGTTCAATCCAATTTTACTAATGAATAACATGATTGTTTTGAAGAAATGCAAAACAGAACATTTACGTATGAAGCTCCTTGGCGAATGCCACCACTTAAAGCCATGGAAAGACCCGAAGTGGTGGTATTCATTCATATAATCGAACTACCAATGGTGTATATATCTTTATGTTATTTGACATCATATTCGATATATTTTACGATGGTGAATTATATCCGCTGCCAATTCGGTATTATCAGCTATCAAGTTAGGAATTTCAAAGTGCAGAAGATCGCTGATTTTAAGAAACAATTTAGGATCATTGTTGACAGTCATAACGCAATACTACGGTAAGAGAAATATCATGTTGCTCATGGAAACGGATAATCATGGGGCATATCCTTTGTCTACAGTATAGCCAAATCATTGAATCAGACGTCCAATATTTTCCTCCTATATGAACTTCTTGCTGTGTCTCTTACTATCGCTTTACTCACATACAACATAATGGTGGTAATACATTTATAAAGATTATTTATTAATATGAAGCTAGGAATTTTCCATCTTATCGGATTTTTTTTTCCTACAACATGTTTCAGAAAGGAGTGCTTCAAAGAGTGGGGATGCTCTCATAAACTATGGAATGTATATTTTCAACATGTTAACAATTATGTTCGCTAATTGCTACATGGGCCAGTGCTTGCAAGATGAGGTTTGTTGGGAAATTATTTATTTTATTAAGAGAAGAGGGTATGACAGAACTAGTTTTTTTTTGTTATCAACTGACAGCCTTCTTAGTCCTACGTGTTCCAGTCCACGAAATGATACGATTGAGTTTTTAATTATCTCCTTAGGGTGATATTTAGCGAGATTTTTTTTTCTATTGGGATTATATATTTTTTGATATCATATATTGTTAAAATAATGGAAATTCCTAGCCCACGTCAAAATTTAAATGGCGAGCTGGTACCATTATCTCCCCAGATACTCTAGAGCCTATAAACTGTTCAGCTTCATCTTCTAACGGACAATTAAAGCAATAGTATTTTTCACGCCTAGGACGGAAAAAGTAAATGTAACGAATGCGGGTTTATAAAGCGCATGAGTCAGAATGACTTTTTTCACCGATGCTATTTTCTTTCATTTTAATATTTTTCATTTTAAACTTTGTTTTCAAATTTTATCCATCCATCTATCTACGGATACGCTTTCTTCCCCTCGAAGTGAAAAACAATTGTATTATTGTAGGCTCTGAAGCTGTGTGATGCATTTTATGAACGTGATTGGGCTGATCTACCACTTCCATACCAAAGAGCATTAATAATATGCATAATACATGCTCAAACGCAAAAGTGCGAAATTAAAGCGGGGAAGTTCTACAAATTCTCTTTAAGTGCTTACACAAATGTTAGAATTACAATTTCTTTCATGATCATTACTTCTAAAATGACTCTTGACAATATGTTACAGATATTAAAATCAGTCATGGGTTTCTATTCGATGCTTAGGGCAACGACTTGAACTCTGGATTTTCAGGTTTCTTGATACAATAATACACGGATATGAACTGCTGATTATAATTTAGTAATAAATATTGTTATCCCTAACGTTTCGTTTCAATGTAATGCAAAAATGTGAAACTATTTCGAAAATACAACCGATATTTTTTCACAAATTTAGGGTTATGAATTGTTTAAATAATTACCAGAATATAAGGAGGCGCCATTGCAAAAATTTTAGAGGTGAGAACGCAATTAGCGAAGGGCAGCCCGTAATATCTTGTATGAACAGTCAATTGTAGTAAATTCGAATTGAAGCGGATTCGAGTTGAATCGAACCGCGAAATTCAAATTCGGCGTACGGAGGGCGCAGTAGGTCTCATCCTTATTATTATTATTATGAAAGTAGAGATACAAAAATGAAGTTCGCCAGAGTCGAAATATCTCGAAACCCGTAGGACTAATTTCTCATTGGTCGAGTCGAACCGCCAAATTCGAATTCGGATAAATAAATGGATCAAGTTGTCATCAACTCGTAATAGAGTGGTTAGATCATTCGATTGCGTGATCGAATTATTCACTTACCCACGATTGCTTGACCATCGCTCGATGAGTAATTTTTGTTCGACCAATGATCAACCGTCGATGGTTTGACCATCGAGTGACCTGTTAGGCAATATCTCGGCTTCAGCACAGCATCTTGTGAGGATGTCCAATGTCTCACGTTCCATCAAGACTCACTCCATTTCTGTGTAAATCTATCAAGACATTTTATGCTCACGTATAAAGACATTCGTTCTTTATTGAGCCTTAATTAAAAGTCAAAAATAAAAATACATAACTTTTTATATATTTTTTTTATTAAAATCCATTCAACAACGGCGAAGCAAAATACATACAGCTTAATTTCTCTACGACAATTACTTCGAAATATGTTTTGTTCTTTAACTTTAATAAATATATGAACTATGCATACCAAAAATTCTTAAGATTAGGCACTATTATCAATGGCGGACACTCATGCAGCCCTAGTAAGTCTATCCACGTTCTACGTGTACAGATTATCTCCAAAACATTAACTTTCCGGACTTTCTTCCAGGTTGTAAACATTCTTTTCATCCGATGTTTCTGGTTTTATTAATGTTGCCCAAGTACTTGAAAACGTTAACCATTAAAATTTAATTTTTCGTTCATTTTTTAATATCAGTTTCTATAATTATAAAATTAGTTTGATGTTTTCAACGTATCGGATAGTAATTTATCACGTGTTCTTAATCAAATTATATTTAAATTCTGATTTTTGTTGTTGAGTATCGTAGTTCATCTTTACGGCACTTATTGTCGAATCAGAAATCGTATCTATGTACAAAATCCATAGCAACATTTTCTTTTCTTTCACATTATTTATAAACTAGAGATAAAATTGCCTACATTCTTTAGCTCGACAAAATTCGCAATCTACTTGATTAAAAAAAACAATTATGAACATAAATGAACTTGATTCCCTCATACTTATTATTTTGCAGATAGCAATATTCACGGATCTAATCAGTTCGGAGAGAAGTGCACGTTCAGTTTCTTAGAGCATTTCTACTCATAAAATATCTGCCAAACAATTTGCAAAATTCTTATTCAAAAATCTCTTTATCTCTATTGAATAATTTAAATTTTGTAACTTGATAAAATTTGTTAACAAATACAAAATAAGTCGATTTAGATTGTGAAATTTTGGAGAGCATGAAATCACAAGAATAGAGAAGAGAACAAATTGATAACTGCCATAACATTAATCATGACATTACCACACAGCACACTTGTCTCTTGGGTTCATCTTAGAGCCAACGGGACATTTGAAGTCTTTAGCGAATTCTGGCATATTGGAAAGTGGTCCTAAGACACGGAATTCACCGGGACTGTGGAATCCAGTGGTGATACGAAGCTTGAGTGCTTCAGGTCGGTAAATCGAGCACCAAGTATTAGCCGCACTTATCCAAAACAGCTGTTTAGGGCTATATGGGAGTCCCGGAAGTGGTTGTTCTTGACCATTGCGTTTTATCCAGTCATTGTAAGCTAAATAGGCTTCCTTGATTCCTCCATTGTCTGCTATGTTCTCACCTTGAGTATTTATTCCATTCAACTGCAAGTTGCAAAAAATTGTGACTTAATGTCCACATGTACAATCAACCGAACATAATCTTTGGTTTGAATTTTATCATATCAGTGTAAAATATTCCTAAATTTGGTTCAGGTCAAATTGTCTTGCGGAAACCAGGTCAATGGTTATGGTTATGGTTAAAATACGGATAGGCATTTGCTGCCCTCTTGTCACCGAACCCCTTCTGGGCTATTGTGGCTCCGTTTTCCTTCTAAAACCAGGTCTATGTTTATTTAAAAAAAAACTAGGATAAAAAATCAGATGGATTGTTGTAGATGGCAGATCGGGATATTGACTTCAGGGAATCTGCCAAATTTACAGAAATAATTTTTAGACTGTGTGTGATATGTTACTTTATGTTACGAGGTTAGGACCGTCAGTGATATAAAGTAACCTATAGCACACGGTCTGAAAGGATCCTAATTACGACTATACTAAAGTCAGCATAAGTTTTTATGCCATCGGTGCCCGTAATCGCGCGATTCTAACCTCGCTTCGCTCGGTTAAATCGCGGATTCCGGGCGCGATGACATAAAATTTTGTATGAAACGCGTGCGTAATATATTTTTCGACTCGTGGGATTGTAAAACTCGCCTTCGGCTCGTGTTACAAACCCCCCACGAGTCAAAAAATATATTACGCACGTGTTGCATAATATACTATTACTTCTCTGGGTACCCCCACTCCACGTAGTTACCACTTGTAACCATGTCCCCCACTCCTAAAATCAATGTTAAAACTTATGCTGACTTCAGTATAGCCTCCGAATCCGCTCGATCAGTCCAATAGTTTCCGAGAAAAAGCCATTTCTTTTTCAAATGTTTTTTGTAATTATCTACAAAACTAGTCGGCCGATTGAACTTTTTTTTCAAAATGTTGGTCGCGATAGCCTTAATTAAAATAAATTAATTAGACAGGCGTCAGTATAACGTTTCCAAGATGTTTCCAAATTTCTATTTTTTTCAATATATCGTTAGACGCGCTCTAGCCTCCGCAAAAATGGAGATGTCAACTTGAAATTTTGACACGATTCTCGTCTTATGATAAACAGAAAGAAATAGTCTACAAAAATTACGTGTCTTTTCCATAATGCCGAAGCGAAATGTGGTTGTAGGAAATTTTACGGTAATGTTACGTAATTTCTATCTTAAGTCACGGAGTTTTTCTGTGGCGTTCCGTAATTTTTATCTGAATTATCTGTGAAAAATTACCATACCGTCACTTAAATTTCTCGAGTCAATTCCGTAATCGGTAAACGAACTGCAAGTTCCGTAATTTTCGCTAAATATTTTCCTCCGTGTAGGGATGGTTTATATTTATATTTAGTTCTCGGTTCGATTGGCCCAGTAATTCCGGAGATATTCGATTTTTTGTGCCAACCAATTAGGTCTCATATTTAAAAATGAATAATATTAACTTTTATTGATCAATCATGAATGAACTTATGTTGATGTTGAATAGAATGGTTACGAATCCATTCAGAAGTTTACCAGTCAGGAGAAAGGAAGTTTGCCAATGAAATTGGTAGAAATAAAAGATTTTTAAAAATTAGAAAAAAAAAGAATGCATCTCAAATGACGGCCCAAGTATCCTCTGCCAAATAGGCTCTGTCAATTGCTTGTCATAATCATTGAAGTTTTCCGAAACAAAATTTGAAACCTAAATTTAAAAAAGAAATATTTTATAACAACAAGATAAAATTCAAACCAAAGATTCCGTTCGAGGGATAATACACGCAAGTTTCAATGTAATTATTTCTAGTTTCTTAATACTTCTCAGACTTATCGAAAAATGAATCATTCCCCCGGAAATCAATAAATTGACTTCTTCAAGCAGCAAACGCTCTTTATAGAAATGTCCGATTTTTTATGTCCCTTCCCATTTGAATTAATCACCTGCTACAATCAATTTGACAAATTAATTTACTCACGTTCAAACCAACTTCTTCGACCGAATAATTTCCGTACTGATTGATTATGCATTCAGCCTTGGCTAGGTATTTCTCTTTGGTAGAAGGCGCCCACCAGTCGACTAAATTTCCCTCTTTATCAAACTGTCGTCCTTGATCATCGAATCCATGGGTAATCTCGTGACCAATGACGAAACCAATGGCACCGTAGTTCATGTACCTTGGACGGTCATTGCTATAGAATGAGTCCTGAAGAATACCAGCGGGGAACTCTGATGATTTTACCGAAAAAATACATTGGAAACATGTAATTATAAGTAATGATGAAAATAAACTCTAAAGACTAAAGTCAGTGAAATCAAGAATAAAATTTTGTTTTCCTTGCGGTGCTATTGTCTCTATCTTCTCTTTTTTCATGTTTTTTTTGTAAATTTGGGAAACCCTGGATCAGATGGACGTGAGAAAATATAACATTTTTCCGTTTTACCATTATTCAATGACTCACAAATTTCCAGAGCGTCTATTTTTCTACATTTTTGGTTAAATTCTGTTAATTTTTGCGAAAGTTTATTGAGAACATTCGAAAGTTCTTCAACGATTTCTCAGAAAATTGTAACGAGAAACTTGAAAAATGAGGCGGTATTAATACAAATAACATGCAATAACTCCTCAACAGGAATTTAATACTTTTATCGGTCCCTAAGGTGCAAATAGACTGGAGAGTGCCCCGAATTTATATGAACAATAAAAGTCATAACTTCAAAAGGTAAGGGAAGGAAAAGCTTTTCTAAATGTACCCAAACATAAAAAATTACCAAATCTATCTCTTGAAGGGATCAATTGACCTAATGTAATCAGATTCCGAGACAATATGAAACATTTCCTACAAGATAAGTATAAAAAAAGAAATAAACATATGCCTCAGGTTTCAGAAGCTAATTTACAGGTGCTAGAATACTTAATCACCACTATTGATTTTCGTTTCATCACTGACAACGAGATAAACATAAATAAAATCTCAATGCATTCATAGAAGATTTATGCTGAACTTCAATCATTAAGTCAACTAAAAATGAATTACTCACGTATACTATTCTCAATTGAAGAATAGAATGCATTAACGACTGCAGGTCTTCCATGTGTCACCCAGTCACTCTTATTAACCGGTTTTCTCAATTTACTGAATGAATACTCAGTTCCAAATAACGTGAGATTGAGAATTCCCTGAAGATAATTCTCATCACTGAGCTCCAAGTCCTGATAGAACTCTTCGAGTTTACTATCATCAAGAAGCTCATCAGGATAAGCAATATGACTAGTCATGGATGCAGCCTTCTCCAGCGCGCTCTTGCGGGTTTCTTCGTCCATCCAGTCGATCTTCTCCAGAATATAATTAAACTGCTTCTTAATGTCGTTGACCATCTCGATGGCATTCTTCTTGGCTTCCTCATTGAAATACTTGCGAATATACTGAGCTCCAACACTTATAGAGAGACTTCCTCCAACCAAATCAACACATTCCTTCCACCTGGATTCTCTTTCGGTCCTTCCACTGAGGGCAGTCGAGTACTGGAGCTGTCGTTTTCTAATTTCATCATTCGCATAGCTAACAGATGCTGCTGTTGCTCGCCACATTACGTAATTCGCTTGAATTCTCTTTGGAGTTTCTCTCATGAGTTTTTCGAGGCTTGAGATGAAGCTTGGAACATTTACGATGGCGATTTCATTATCGTCGACTTGGAGAGATGGTGGGAGCAGACGGTTGAAGTATTCTTTCCATGGAATGCTAGGGTATGTCTTGGAAAGCTCGGCGACTGTCATGGGATTGTACAGAAGTGTGGCATTACGACGTTTCTCGTTGGGTAGAGATATCTGAAAATATTAATAATGGCAGAATATAAATTCAAGTACAATTACATCCCCCAAACTAATTGATTCCTTCTAAAAAGGTGCCCAGATTCTTAATTAGTCGACAAAAACCCATCCACTCAAAAATACAACATCCAAAATGATTTGGTGGATCCAAACTAGACATTTATAGAAAAATTAAATATGATCTTAAATGATTGATAAAAAAATTTATTAAAAAACTTGTCCACACTTGTATACCTCCTTTCGGGGTTTTACATTTTCCACCCCCAGTTCCCCCTGTACCGAAATTACGCCGAGGGCCGAAGGGAAAACCTCATGGGAAAAAACCTTGGCCAGGTACAGTCGTCTCTTTCGGGACTACCCGCTCGTACGATGAAAACCTGTGCAAGTTAGAGCGAATTCTATCTCTTTTAAAAAAAAAGCATGTAACGTTTTTTGTCAGCTTTTTTTGGCGCTATGCATATCAAAATATATCTATATAATATGATATATATATATATAATACATACATATATAAATAATATATATAATATATAATATATATAATAATATA